ATAGATGGGGAAACTGAGACTCAGACAAATTAAAGTGCCTTGCCTAAGGTCACAGAGTTAGCAACACAGGGCTCCAAATCAGCTCTGACTCCAAATTTAGTGTTCTTTCCAGCATACCATATCATTTAGTCTAACTCCTTAATTTTACAGATGAGGAAACTGAGGCCCAAAAAATAAAAGTGACTTGCCCATGCTCACACAGGTAGGAAACCAGAAATCTTACCCAGGTCTCCTGGCCATACTGCATCTCAAGAATTATTGCTTTTCCTCCTTTCACTTTATCTATTACTTCCAAGAACTATGAAAGCTCCAAGATCAGCAACACCAAAATTTCAAATGTAATTAAATTCCTCTTGGTGAGTAAACATTTTCCATTACAGCAGATTTCATGCTGATTCAGTTTTCTGTAGTTGTCCTTGAAGAAAAAAAAAACTGCTGAGCTCTTACTTCCTTTGGCTCAAAGTACAGTGACACTTGTTTCTTCCAACCAGAAGAGCTTGTTAATTATTTTGTTCCCATGATCTCAGCAAGACATTTTACATTTTTCTTATTAATTCCACCATTTTTTTTTCTCAAGAAGAAGCATAATTCTGAGTCCCTATGCCATCATGGTGCAGAACCAAGAACACTAGATTTGGAGTTGAAAAATCTGTGTTCAAGTCCTGGCTCTGACATTTACTAGTTGTTTGATTACATAAATTTAAAATGTTTTTACACAAGCAAATCCAATGCAGTTAAAATTATACGGGAAAGAACTCAATGGGAAAAAATGTTTGTATTATGTTTCTCTGATAAAGGTCTCATTGTGAACATACATAAGAAATTGATTCAAATTTATAAGGACAAAGGTTATTTCCCAATTCATACATGTTGAAAAAAGCAATTTTCAAAAGAAGAAATCCAAGCCATCAACAGCCATATAAAAAATGTTCCAAATCTCTAAAAATGAAAATTAAAGCTATTCTGAGATTCTACCTCACACCCAACACACTGGCAAAGATGACAGATAAAGGAAAAGAACAAATTCTGGCAAGGATGTGGGGAAACTGACAAATTAATAAACTGTTAGGGGAGCTGTGAATTGGCCTGGCCATGTTGGAAAGAAAGATTTTTTTAGAATCCGACATCTAAGAGTCATCAGAACTTACCTGATTCAAACTTGTCTTACAAATGGAGAAACTCAGGACCACAACCAGTAAATGGAAGTGTGCTGGTCTCTTGATTCACACTATAGTATTCATCCCACTGCACCAGAACCCTTAACCTTGTGTGAGACGTGGACCCCTATGGCTGTCTAATGAAACCCATAGACTCCTTCTCAGAATCATGTACAAAATTAAGTACAGAGGATTACAAAGGAAATCAATTATATTGAAATGCAATTGTCAAAACATTTTTAAAAAACAAGCTCATGAACTACAGGTTAAGAGCTATTGTATTATACCATATGACTTCAGTGTGTAAGTAATGAATGAATGAATATATAAATAAATGGATACAAGGGCAGAAAGATAAGTAAAAGAATTAATTAATAGATGGTAGAGGGAACAAGAATTTATTATACACCTACTATATGCTAGGCATTGTGCTGAGTGCTTTATAAATAGTACATCATTTGATTGTCACAACAACCCTGGTAGGTATGTGCTAGAGGAGATGTGGGATTATTATCTCCATTTTACAGTTGGGAATACTGAGGTAAATAGAGATTAAGTAAATTGCCCAGAGTCACACATTTAGGGAGTATTTTAGGCCACATTAAAACTCAGGTCTTCCTAACGCTAGGCTCAGCACTCTAACCACTGTGCTACCTAGCTTCCTCCAGGTAAATAAATACTGAAAAATAAACAAAAAAAATATGAGTAAATAAATAAATAAGTAGATTAATAGATGGATGAAACTAATAGAAAAATAAGCAGATGAATAAATAAACAGTCACACAGGCAAACATGAAACCAAAACCATACTCTAGTCATGAGATCTATAGAGATCATACTCTGTTATGTCATGGACCCCTTTGGCAGTCAGGTATAACCTATGGACCCTTTCTCAGAATAATGTTTTTGGATGTGTAATATCAAATATATAAAATTACAAGGAAAACTGGCCATATTGAAACATGGCAGCTGAGGGAACCTAAGTTAATAAACATCAGGCTAAGATCCCTTGTGTTCAAGATTATATGGTGCTAAGTACTAGAGTTAGGATTTGAATTTAAGTTTTCTCATGCCAAGTCCAACATTCTTTTTGCTATGCCATCCTGTGTATGTGCACTGAATGATAAAAATTACAGAAGTTACTCCTGCTTTGGGTAAGAAGTCTTAGCAATCTATAGATTTTGATGAATAAAGAACCTACCAGGTAAATGTTCATGATTTTGAAACTATCATCTAAAGGCAAAATAAATCATCACTTCTTTGTCATTTAAATGCCATCTGCTTGGGGAAACCAAACTACTCCATATCTTCCAAGGGCTCTTGTGACCACATAGAGATCTTTAATGTTCCTTCTTTTGCTTTTCTTCTTTTGCTCCAGTTTTCTCTTCTCTCACTCCCAGCCCAGGCAAACTAGACCACCGCTCCTCACGTGAAGCAAAAAAATCTGGTGCTCTATTACTCAGTTTAAGCAATTACTTGCTGAAAAGATCAAGCTACATTAATTATGCCTAGTCAAAATTGTCAAGCAAACTAATATATTCGGCATTTCCACCTGTTCTAGTTCTAGTACATGTCACAAGAAAGAAAATAGCGAGAAAGGGAATTATCAGGCATTCCAAGGCTATGATAACTCATTCTCCCTATAATGAGATCAAAAGATGCTGTTCACCTAATATAGTGTGATAGTGTTCTCGTGAGCACTAGAAAACACCCCCAGAAAATGATCCCTTTCCCCCCAGCAACCAGGGGGCAAAAGTGAATTGAGAAAAGAAAGCATGAGGAGAAGCTTAAAAATGACTGAGGTTAGAGGGAGGAAATAGGACATAGTGGGAAAAACGCTGGATAGGTACCAAAAGTCTGAGGGTTTCCCTTGTCCTTAGACTTCCTGCATGAGTGACTGTGGGCTGGTCACTTTAACTCTCACAGTTTCAATTTCTTCATCAGTAAAATAGGAGCAATGATTCTTGTATGAATGACCTTTCTTACAAGTTATGAGAAGAATGCTTTGTAAACTTTAAAGCCCTAGAAAAATGTGAATTGTTAATAATAATAATAATAATAATAATAATAGAAAAAGTTTTTATAGCACTTATTTGTGTCAGGTTCTATGCTAAGTGCTTTGCAATTATTATCTCATTTGAGCTTCATAATAACTCTGGGAGGTAGATGCTATTATTATCCCCACTTTATAGACAGGGAAACTGAGGCAAACAGCAGTTAAGTGACTTGCCCAGGGTCACATAGCTAATAAGTGTCTGAGGCCAGATTTGAACTCAGGTCTTTCTGAATACAGGCCTAGTGCCCTGTCCACTTTATCACCCACTACCCCAAGGCAAATGTTTCATTCTTTATCTGACAAGAATAATAATAGAAAGCCTGCAATCAACATTTTTGTGTGTCAAAGACAATGGGAATAAGATAAAAAGTAGAAAATTAAATAGTATTTCTAAGGTAAGTGTACCTCCTCTTCCAAATATCACAATCCCATCGAAGGCCTCTTAGAATGGGATGACTCTTAGTAGACCCCAATTCTCAGTGTTTGATTGTGTGCCCAACAGATGGAAGGCATTGTAACTCCTACTCAACCACTTATATGCAATTTATACATTTTTCCCACAATTTTCTTCCAAAATTATAACATCTACAATGTGTTTCCTGGTACTCTCCTACCTTCCCACTGGCAGTGTTCCATCCGTGTGTGCTGATTATTTTCTTTGTGATGTAGTGGAAAGAGTATTGAACTTGAAATCCAAATCTAGGCTCAAGTCTTCCCAGATCTGCAACTTAGCAACGATGTGACCTTGGGCAAGTCACTAACCTTTCTGGGTCTCAATTTTCCTCATTTATTAGCAGAAGAGGCTGGACTAGATGATATCTAAGGTCTTATCTACAATAAACTATGATTCTGTGTTCAGGGAGCTGTTCTGTCTGAAGGTGAATTGGAGAAATTAAGACAATGGATGAAATAAGGCATATTTTTCACATATGACAAAGCTGTTTCTCTTCATATTTTCCTATTTAGTGGTCTGGAAAATAATCAGTTAAGCAGGGCACTACTGAAAAGTGGCAGAATGTGTTCCTTATATAATATTTCCCTATACACACCTTGGCTAGTAAAAGGCCAGCCATTGTGGAGGAAGGGATTACTTCTGATCTAGTCCTCTGATCAGTCTGATTAGTTGCCTAGCTAAATTGCTCTTTGATGTCTCCACTTTTTATTCCCTTGAAGCTTTTCACACATTCATTAGTTCACAAAAAAATTAAATCTCTTCCAAGGCCATTTTATGACTAATGTATTCATTGAGGACACTATTCTTCCAAATTTACCCCAAGGCAGTCAAACTGGCAAATCTAATCCAATCCAACGAACTTTGATAAAGCACCTACAATGTGCATGGCACCAAGGACACAAAAATAAACAAATGAATGAATAAACGAACCAAAGATAATTCCTGCTCTTAAAGAGTTTATATTCTGAGTCAATGGAAGGCACATACCTATATAAAGACAAAAATGATCAGTTGACCAGAAAAGCCCTCAAATCAGAGGTTGCACATATACTTTCCCAAAGATGGATAAAGGGTAAGAGGTGTCTTCTCTATTCATTTTTTTCTTGGTAGCAGTTTTGTGAAAACTGAAAAAACAAGGCAACTGGTTGTACTTAAATATTTGAGCACAAACTGTATCTTCTAATGTTATCAACTTATAAACCCAATCAAGGAAAGGAAATATGTATTTCTTTATAACATCAAGAATACTTTCAACTGAGCATGATTTGAATTTATTCCATGAGGAATTCATAATGCAGGTATCATAGAAGTTAAAAAAATGAGATTTACTCACCACAAATTGACTAAGAAAGGGTGTTCTAGGCCCTGCATGATCTGGAGCTCTCTGAAGACATTCCGCACTTCATCCCTCTCAATACACTTCTGTTTATTCATGTATTTCATGGCATACATTTTCTTTGTGTCTCTTTTCTGCACAATGCATACCTGAGTGAGGAGCAAGTTACAGAAAACAGTTCATGTACATGGTGAAATTCACATCCTGTTCAAACTCACTCACATGTGCTTTACCAGGCTATCTTTCATCAGCCTTTACAACACAATAGTTCTATTACCGATGACGTAAAAAAAAAGCAATATCACATGACCTTCTTGTTATGACAGCCTTAGCCTAATCATAATTACAATGATTGTTTAGTGAGATCTTAAGCCAAGAGACCTCGCCAGGATGGATCATATATCAGCCAGGAAACTTACTAGCTGTGTGACTAATTGGCATATTGCCTCACCTCTCTGAGTCTCAGTTTTCTCCTCTGTAAAATGGGAATAATAATGTCTGCACCTATCCACCTGACAGGATGGTTGTGAGGAAAGCACTTTGTAAACCTTAAAGGGCTGTGTCATCCACCAAGTGACAAATGATCAAGAAATATGAACAGAAAGCTCCCTTTTTTTAATCATGATTTTCAGGTATACTAATAATTTTTAAATTGTCTCTCCTGGATAGATTTTCCAGGTCAGTTGTTTTACCCATGAGCTTTTTACGTTTTCATCTGTTTTTCCATTTTTTTTGTTTGTGTTTGACTGATTCTTGCTCTCTCATAGAGTCATTAATTTCCATTTGTCCAATTCTAATTTTTAACAAATTGTTTTCTTCTGTTAGTTTTTGTACTTCCTTCTCCAATTGGACAATTGTATTTTTAAGGGATTTGTTTTCTTCAGTGTATTTTTTTTCCAGTTGGCCAATTGTGTTTTTTAGGGACTTGCTTTCTTCAGTGTACTCTTTTTCCAATTGGCCAATTGTATTTTTAAGGACTCTTCTACCTCTCTCATTTGACTTTTAAAATCCTTCTTGGGCTCTTCTAAGAAGGCTTTTTGGGCTTCAGACCAGTTCACATTCCCTTTTGATGTTGCAGATATAGGTTTGTCGACAATGTTGTCCTCTTCAGAATTTCTGTCTTGATCTTCATTCCTCTCATAATATGAATCTATGGTACATTTCTTTTTACTCATGGCGATTCTTTGTTCCCTGGCCTTTCAAGAGATTGAGATCTCCTGGTGGGGAGCAGACCCAAGCTCCTTGTGTTGGGAGCCTAGGTCTTGGTTACTGGCTTTGTGTGCTAGAACCTCTTATGTTGACAATCGGAGGCTGCAAGGTTCTGGCAGCTTACCTGGTGTTGGGCTGGAATCAGCAAGGCTGGGACTTTCAGGTTAATCTAGGTTGCCTGCTTTTCCTTTCCTTTAGCCTTCTTCAGCTCCTTTTAGATGGGTGCTGCAGGGTGTTTATCTGCCTGGGGCCCCTTGCAGTGCTGCCTCCCTTAGTTCTGCTGAGGCTCTTGGAGACCCCTTTGCTGTAGAATGCCGAGGCACCTGGTGGTTTTCTGAGCTGGTTTTCACTGGTTCCCCTGCCCTCACTGAGGTGCTTGGAGATCCAGGTGTTGGTGTTTGCCTGCTCAAACACCTGGACTTCAGGATCTCCTCCTGGTTGTCAGTTGGAGGCTGTAGGATTCTGATAGCTTACCTGGTATTGGGCTGGCATCAGCAAGGCTGGAACTTTTGGCAACTCTAGGTTGCTTTCTTCAGCTCCTTTCAGATGAATGCTGCAGGGTGTTTATCCACCTAGGGCTCTTTGTAGTGCTGCTTCCCTTATTTTTGCTGAGGCACTGGACCCATTTGCTGTAGAATGCCAAGGCTCCAGGATCTCCTCCTGGTGTACTAAAGTGGGTCTTTCTGCTAGCTGGCTGGGATGCCTCCCTTTCCATACTGCTCCTCTTCCCCCAGGGTAAGAGGGGCCTTTCCTGTTAATCCCTCTAGCTACTTGGGCTATTGCACAGTTGCTCCCTGTCTTTCTTCTGGTTCTGCTGTTCCAGGGCTTTTTCTGGGGTGATATTTTCTGGGTTTTCAGAGGTTGATAGGGGAGGATGAGAGCGACTACCTTTTTACTCTGCCATCTTGGCTCCTGGAAGCAGAAGTTTTCCATGAAAAGGCAGCTCTCAAAGAATGAAATCCAAATTATCAATAGCCATGTGAAAAAATGCTCCAAAATCACTAATATTTAGAGAAATGCAAATTAAGACAACTCTAAGGTAGCCCTCACACCCATCAGATTGGAAAAGTTGACAATAAAGGAATATGACAATGCTAGAGGGGTTATGGGAAAACAGGCACTGTTGGTAGAGCTGTTACTTGATCCAGTCATATTATAAAGCAATTAGGAAATATATCCCCAAAATCACTAAGCTGTGTATAGTCTTTCACTCGAAGAAAGAAGAAAAGGACCAGTATGTAAAAAAAGTTAATAACGTTTCTTTTTGTGGTGGCAAATGACTAGAAACTTAGAGAGGGTGCCCATCAATTGGGGAATATCTAAATAAATTATGGTGTATAAATTTAATGGAAAATTATGTTATAAAATTGATGAAAGGGATGATTTCAGAGAAACCTGAGACTTGTAAAAACTAATGGAGAACGAAATCAGCAGAAACTGAACAATTTATACAATAACAACATTATAAAGACAAATGACTTTGAAGGACTGAAGAACTCTGTTCAACATAATAACCAATCATGATTCCAGAGGACTGATGATAAATGATGCTACCCACTTCGTGACACACTGGTGATAGATTCCAAGTACAGATTGAACACACATATAGAAAGAGAGAGATACATACATACATACATACATACATACATACATATAGAGACATGACCAATGCATTGATTTATTTTGTTTCACTATGCACTTATGTTACAATGATTTTGTTGTCCTTTTTTCAGTATAGGTGGAGGTTGGAGTAAGAAAAGATGATTTTTGTTCATTAAAAAATAAGTTTTAAACTCTGTAAATAGGAATTATTATTACTACTAGTATTAACATTAATTATAACTCTGTGCATTTATGTAGTGCTCTATATTTTTTAAAAGCATGTCCACATAAATTTCTTCATTTGATCTATATTCTAGCCCATTGAAATAAGAGAATAGATGAGATTAATAAATAATTTATTATAGACCTGGGTTTGAGTACTGGCTCTGCCATTTAATAACTGTGTAATCATGGTAAGTCAAAACTTTTCTAAGCCTCAGTTTCTTTGTTTGTAAAAGAGGAATAATACCTGCACTTCCTATCTCATGGGGCTATTTTCAGGGAGGGGCTTCAATCTCATGAATATTACCCTTCTTCCCATTCTTCACAATCCAACCAAACTAGCTTTCTCTTCTTTACCCAAGGAACTCTGTGCCCAATCTCCATGCCTTTGCTCTGGCTGTCCCCCATGCCTGATTATTATCTTTTTCCCTACCCTTCACAGGAACCTTCACTTCTTTCAAGATTCAACATAAGCATCACTTTCTACATGAAGCCGTTCCTGCTCACCCAATTGCTATTGCTTTCCCTTCCAAATTACCTTGTGTTTAACTTATATATTAATTTGTCGTTATTTCCTTTATAGTTATCCAGCATATACTTATTATATGTATTTGTTGTTTTCCCCCATTAGAATATAAACTCTTTTCAAGAAGAGATAGTTTCATTCTTTGTATATGTATCCCTAATATCTAGCACAGTGCCTGGGCGCACATAGCAGATACTTAATAAATGCTTGCTGAGCTTGGCCGTAGGGTGGCAGCTGCTTCTAGCCCACAGAATGAGGGGGAATCAAGTGGCTGATCAGAGGAGCATTGCAGGGATCTCTCTGCTGGTGAAGGATTCTCTTGTTTTGCCTATGCAGGGATCTGGGTCACAGTTTTGGGTGGCTGTCATCAGGTGAGGAGGAGTGCTGGGATGGTAGAGCTTGTAGTGCTGGTGGAGAGGAAATCCTCCTCACATTTCCAAGGCAGAAAAGAGTGCTTGTGGTCACTCATAGAATGGATCACTGACCAGGAAAGGAGTAGACACCTTCCCCCTTATCATACCAACTTGGAAGAACTGAAAATTTACAGGTCCCTAGAAGTATCTCTGAAAACAGCTTCACCAAACCCCTGAAGCTTGAGACAGTACATTCTCCACACTGGAAGCAGACTTTTACCTTAACAAAGAGTTTAAAACTCAAGTAGTTGTCTGGGATCATGAATAAACAAAGGTCCAAAAACAGTCAGACTATAGAATCTTTCATTAGTAACAAAGAAGATCAAAACATACAAACAGAAGAATGCAACAAAGTCAAAGCCCCTGCATCCAAAGCCTCCAAGAAAAATACAAATCAGTCCCAGGCCATGGAAGAGCTCAAAAAGGGGTTTGAGAAACAAGAGAAATAGAGGAAAAACTGGGAAAAGAAATGAGAGTAATGCAAGAAAATCATGAAAAGTAAGTCAACAGCTTGCTAAAGGAGACCTCAAAAAATACTGAAGAAAATAACACCTTAAAAAATAGCATAATTCAAATGGCAAAAGAGGTCCAAAAAGCCAATGAGGACAAGAATGCCTAAAAAAGCAAAATTGGCCAATTGGAAAAGGAAGTCCAAAAGCTTACTGAAGAAAAATACTTCCTTAAAAATTAGAGTGGAGCAATTGGAAGCTAGTGACTTTATGAGAAATCAAGACACTGTAAAACAAATCCAAAAGAATGAAAAAATAGAAAACAATGTGAAATATCTCATTGGAAAAATAACTGACCTGGAAAATAGATCCAGGAGAGAGAATTTAAAAATTATTGGACTATCTGAAAGCCATGATCAAAAAAAGAGCCTAGACATCATCTTTCAAGAAATGATCAAGGAAAACTGCCCTGATATTTTAGAACCAGAGGGTAAAATAGAAATGGAAAGAATCCACCGATCCCCTCCTGAAAGAGATCCCCAAAGGAAAACTTCTAGGAATATTGTAGCCAAATTCCAGAGTTCCTAGGTCAAGGAAGCAAGCAGCCACAAAGAAACAATTCAAGTATTGTTGAAACACAATCAGGATAACACAAGATTTAGCAGCTTCTACATTAAGAGACCAGAGGACATGTAATATAATATTCCAGA